TGTGATTGGGGTTTGGGGGGGGGTCCCCAAAAGAGGGGTGGTGACCCCCCCATTGTCACCCAGCGCTGGCCGAGATCCTGAGCGTGAAGGACATCAGCGGGAGGAAGCTCTTCTACGTGCACTACATTGACTGTGAGTCAATGGGGGGGACACACACACATGGTACCCCCCATATGTGGGGACGTAGAGGGGCTATGGGGGGGGTAAAGAGGGGATATGGGGGTGCAAGTGCCCCTCCATCACCCCATGTGTGTCCCTTGGTGTGGCCATGGTTGGGGTGGGGACATAGAAGGGGGCTATGGGGAGGGGCGTGGAGGGGACATTGGGGGGTGTAGAAGGGTTATGGGGGGCCATGGGGGTGCCATTGTCACCCCGTGTGTGTGCCCAAGAATGGGTTGGGGACATAGAGGGGACATAGGGAGACGTGGGGGGCTATAGGGGGACATAGAGGGGACATAGGGGTGCTTGGGGAGCCATAGGGAGACATAGAGGGGCCATAGAGAGATATGGGGGGCCACAGGGGGACATAGAGGTGCCATAGGGGACCATAGAGGGGCCATATGGGGACATAGAGCTGCCATAGGGGGACATAGAGGAGCCATCAAGGGACCATAAGGGGCCATAGAAGGGCCATAGAGGGGCTGTAGAGGGACCATAGGGGGACATAGAGGGGCCATAGGGGGCCATGGGGGCCATAGAAGGGCCATAGGGGGCATAGAGGGACCATAGGGGGCCATAGAGGGGACACAGGGGGCCATAAGAGGACATAGAAGGGTCATAGGGGGCCATAGAGGAGCCATAGGGGAGCACAGAAGGGCCATAGGGGGATATAGAGGGGCCATAGAGGGGCCACAGGGGGACATAGAGGTGCCAGAGAGAACCATAGGGAGACATAGAGGGGCCATAGGGGGACATAGAGGTGCCATAGGGGACCATAGGGGGACATAGAGGGGCCATAGGGAGGCATAGAAGGGCCGTAGGGAGACATAGAGGGACCATAGGGGGTCATAGGGGGACATAGGGGGACATAGAAGGGCCATAGGGGGTCATAGAAGTGCCATAGGGGACATTGGGGGCCATAGAGGGGCCATATAGGGGACATAGAAGTGCCATAGAGAGACATGGGGGGCCATAGAGGGACCGTAGGGGGCCACAGAGGGGCCATAGAGGGCCCTAAGGGGACATAGAGGGGCCATAGGTGGACATAGAGGTGCCATAGGAGGCCATAGGGGGCCACAGAGGGGCCATGGAGGGCCCTAAGAGGATATAGGGGGGCCTTAGAGGGTCATAGAGGGGTCATAGGGAGACATGGGAGGCCATAGGGGAACCACAGGGGGCCACAGAGTGGCCATAGGGGGACATAAAGGGACCATAGGGGGCCATAGAGGGACCATAGAAGGGCCACAGGGGACCACAGGGGGCCATAGAGGGGCCATAGGGGGCCATAGAAGGGCCATAGGGGGACATAGAGGGACCATAGGGGGCCATATGGGGCCATAGAGGGATCATAGAAGGGCCATAGGGGACCATAGGGGTCCATATGGGGCCATCGAGGTGCCATAGGGGGCCATAGAAGGACCATAGGGGTCCATATGGGGCCATCGAGGTGCCATAGGGGGCCATAGAAGGGCCATAGGGGTCCATATGGGGCCATCAAGGTGCCATAGGGGGCCATAGAAGGACCATAGGGGACCATAGAAGGGACATAGGGGTCCATAGGGGGCCATAGGGGACCATAGGGTGCCATATGGGGCCATTGATGTGCCATAGGGGGCCATAGAAGGACCATAGGGGACCACAGGCGTCCATATGGGGCCATCGAGGTGCCATAGGGGGCCATAGAAGGACCATAGGGGACCATAGAAGGGCCATAGTGGACCATAGGGGTCCATATGGGGCCATCGAGGTGCCATAGGGTGCCATAGAAGGGCCATAGGGGACCATAGGGGTCCATATGGGACCATCGAGGTGCCATAGGGGGCCATAGAAGGACCATAGGGGTCCATATGGGGCCATCAAGGTGCCATAGGGGGCCATAGAAGTACCATAGGGGTCCATAGGGGACCATAGGGGGCCATAGAAGGACCATAGGGGACCATAGGGGTCCATATGGGGCCATTAAGGTGCCATAGGGGGCCATAGAAGGACCATAGGGGACCATAGAAGGGCCATAGGGGGCCATATGGGGCCATCGAGGTGCCATAGGGGACCATAGAAGGGCCACAGGGGACCATAGGGGTCCATATGGGGCCATCGAGGTGCCATAGGGGGCCATAGAAGGACCATAGGGGTCCATATGGAGCCATCGAGGTGCCATAGGGCGCCATAGAAGGGCCATAGGGGACCATAGGGGTCCATATGGGGCCATTGAGGTGCCATAGGGGCCATAGAAGGGCCATAGGGGGCCATATGGGGCCACCGAGGTGCCATAGGGGGCCATAGAAGGACCATAGGGGACCATAGAAGGGCCATAGTGGACCATAGGGGTCCATATGGGGCCATCAAGGTGCCATAGGGGGCCACAGAAGGACCATAGGGGACCATAGGGGTCCATATGGGGCCATCGAGGTGCCATAGGGCGCCATAGAAGGACCATAGGGGACCATAGAAGGGCCATAGGGGACCATAGGGGTCCATATGGGGCCATCGAGGTGCCATAGGGGCCATGCTGAGCCCATGCCCCCCACCCCTCGCCCCCAGTCAACAAGCGCCTGGACGAGTGGGTGACGCAGGAGCGGCTGGACCTGAAACGGGTGCAGGGCCCACGCAAGGAGGCCAAGACCCCCACCAAGAACGGGCTGCCCGGCTCCCGGCCCGGCTCTCCCGACAGGGACACGGTGAGCACCCACCCCCCCCGACCCCCCCCGGGGCCATGGGATTGGGGTGGGGGGGGACGGGGACACACACACACACACACATGGATACGGGATGGGGCCGTTGGGATACGGAGATGGGGTAAGAGAGGGTCCGTGGGTTATAGGGATGTGGGGCTATGGGGACATGCTAAGGGGATGGGGACAGGGGCAGCCCCAGGGCCAGGAGGGGACCCTGGCACCCATGGGTGTCCCCAAGGACTGGAGCAGAGAGGGGACAGATGGAGCCTTGGGGGGACCCAGGAGCTGCTGGAGGCACCCAGAGCCAGGGGACAGCCCAGACCCCCCCCTATGGCAGTGTGGGGACGTCCCCAGCCCCTCTATAGGACCTTGGGTAGGACCCTGGGGACATCCCCAGCCTCTCTATAGGACCTTGGGGACATCTACATCCCCTCTATAGGACCTTGGGGACATCTCCAGCCCCTCTATAGGACCTTGGGGACATCTCCAGCCCCTCTATAGGACCTTGGGGACATCTCCAGCCCCTCTATAGGACCTTGGGGACATCTCCAGTGCCTTTTTAGGGCCTTGGGGACATCCTCAGCCGTTCTATAGGACCCTGGGGACAACCCAAACACCTCTATAGGACCTTGGGGACACCCCCAGCTGCTCTTTAGCGCCATGGGGACATCTCCAGCCCATGTATAGGACCTTGGGGACATCTCAAACTCCTCTTTAGGGCCTTGGGGACATCCTCAGCCCCTCTATAGGACCTTGGGGCCATCCCAAACCCCTCTATAGGACACTGGGGACACTCCCAACCCCTCTATAGGACCTTGGGGCCATCCCCAACCCCTCTATAGGACATTGGAGCCATCCCAAACCCCTCTATAGGACACTGGGGACACCCCCAACCCCTCTATAGGACCTTGGGGCCATCTCAAACCCCTCCATAGGACATTGGAGCCATCCCATGACCCCTCTATAGGACATTGGGGCCACCCCCAACCCCTCTATAGGACACTGGGGCCATCCCAAACCCCTCTATAGGACACTGGGGACACCCCCAACCCCTCTATAGGACCTTGGGGCCATCCCCAACCCCTCTATAGGACATTGGAGCCATCCCAAACCCCTCTATAGGACGTTGGGGCCATCCCCAACCCCTCTATAGGACCTTGGAGCCATCCCCAACCCCTCTATAGGACCTTGGGGCCATCCCATGACCCCTCTATAGGACACTGGAGCCATCCCATGACCCCTCTATAGGACATTGGGGACACCCCCAACCCCTCTATAGGACCTTGGAGCCATCCCAAACCCCTCTATAGGACATTGGAGCCATCCCAAACCCCTCCATAGGACATTGGAGCCATCCCAAACCCCTCTATAGGACATTGGGGACACCCCCAACCCCTCTATAGGACCTTGGGGCCCATCTCTCCCACCCAGGACCCCCTTGGGCCGCTGCCATATGGGGAGGGGGGGGGGAGATGCCATCACCCATCTGTGGGGGGGGGGTGGCGGTGTCCCGTGTCCCCCCCATCCCCCCCCCATTGTCCCCCTCAACGCCTCCTCTTCCTCCCGGCACAGAGGAAGAGCCTGGAGCTGGCGCTGCCGGTGGCCCCGGCCAGCGGGAAGAGCATCCCAGGGCCAGCAGTGCCGGGGCCACCGGGGCCACCAGTGCCACCACCAGTGCCACCAGTGCCACCAGTGCCCGTTCAGATCACCCTCCGCTTTCACCTGCCCAAGGAGAGCGAGGCCGAGCCCCCCCCGCCCGGCGCCCAGCGCCCCACGGTAACTGGGGCCCCAATGGTCCCCAATGGTCCCATCCCAATAGGTCCCTGTCCCCAGTGGGTCCCCATTCACTGGCCCTGTCCCCAAGGGGTGTCCGGTTTAGTCCCCAAAGGGCTCTGGTCCCCAGTTATGTCCCCAGTGGGTCCCATCCTGTCCCCAGTAGGGTCCTGTCCCCAATAGGGTCCTGTCCCCAATGGGTCCCCATTGCTGTCCCCAGTGGGTCCCATCCTGTCCCCAGTAGGGTCCTGTCCCCAGTGGGTCCCATCCTGTCCCCAGTAGGGTCCTGTCCCCAATGGGTCCCATCCTGTCCCCAGTGGGATGCACTGGGATGGACCAGGATGCCCTGGGATGAACTGGGATGGGTTGGGATGAACCGGGATGAACTGGGATGGATTGGGATGAACTGGGATGCGCTGGGATGAACCGGGATGAACTGGGGTGACCCGGGATGAACTGGGATGGATTGGGATGCGCTGGGATGAACTGGGATGGATTGGGATGCGCTGGGATGAACTGGGATGGATTGGGATGCACTGGGATGGATTGGGATGGAGTGGGATGCACTGGGATGGATTGGGATGGATTGGGATGCACTGGGATGGATTGGGATGCACTGGGATGACCCGGGATGCACTGGGATGGGTTGGGATGCACTGGGATGAACTGGGATGGATTGGGATGAACTGGGATGCACTGGGATGAACTGGGATGCCCTCGTTCCCCAGAAGCGGAAGCTGGAGGTGGTGTCTCCGGCCACCCCTGTCCCTGTGGCCACCGAAACGTCACCGGCATCCGTGTTCCCCCAGGTGAGCCCAGCGCCGCCCAGTGACACCAGTGACAAACCAGGAACACACCAGTAGCAAACCAGTAACGCACCAGTAGCGCACCAGTAACAAACCAGTAACGCACCAGTAATGCACCAGTAACGCACCAGGAACACATCAGTAACGAACCAGTTACGTACCAGTAACACACCACTAACGCACCACTAAGGCACCAATAACGCACCAGTAACAAACCAGTAACGCGCCGCTAACGCGCCAATAACGCACCACTAATGCACCAGTAACGCCCCACTAACGTGCCAGTAACGCGCCGCTAACACGCCAGTAACGCCCCACTAACACACCACTAACACACCAGTAACGCACCAATAACACACCAGTAACGCACCACTAACGCGCCAGTAACACACCAACAACGCGCCAGTAACGCCCCACTAATGCACCAGTAACAAACCAGTAACGCCCCACTAACGCCCCACTAACACACCAGTAACGCACCACTAACACACCAGTAACGCACCACTAACACACCAGTAACGCACCAATAACACACCAGTAACGCACCAATAACACACCAGTAACGCATCACTAACGCGCCAGTAACGCACCAACAACGCACCAGTAATGCACCACTAACGCACCAGTAACAAACCAGTAACACATCACTAATGCGCCAGTAACACACCAGTAACGCCCCACTAACACACCAGTAACGCACCAATAACACACCAGTAACACACCAGTAACGCACCAACAATGCACCAGTAATGCCCCAGTAACACATCACTAACGTGCCAGTAACGCACCGCTAACACACCAGTAACGCACCGGTAATGCACCAATAACACACCAGTAATACACCAGTAACGCACCGGTAATGCACCAATAACACACCAGTAACGCACCACTAACGCGCCAGTAACGCATCACTAACGCGCCAGTAACAAACCAGTAACGCACCAGTAACACATCAGTAACGCATCACTAACACGCCACTAACGCACCAGTAACACACCAACAACGCACCAGTAACACACCAACAACGCACCAGTAACGCCCCACTAATGCACCAGTAACAAACCAGTAACACATCAGTAACGCTTCACTAACGCACCAGTAACAAACCAGTAACACATCAGTAACGCACCAATAACACACCAGTAACGCTTCACTAACGCCCCACTAATGCACCAGTAACGCACCAGTAACGCATCACTAACGCGCCAGTAATGCACCAACAATGCACCAGTAACGCCCCACTAACGCGCCAGTAACAAACCAGTAACGCTTCACTAACACACCAGTAACACACCAGTAACGCACCAGTGACAAACCAGTAATGCTTCACTAACGCACCAGTAACAAACCAGTAATGCTTCACTAACACACCAGTAACACACCAGTAACGCACCAGTGACAAACCAGTAATGCTTCACTAACGCACCAGTAGCAAACCAGTAACACACCAGTGACAAACCAGTAAGGGCTCAGCCATCACTTACTGACACAGACCCCACCTCCTCTCCCAGTAACCACCCCCAGTGCTCCCAGTAACCCCTTTGGTGGGGGGGGGGTGGTGTTCCTCAGTCCTTACAGGGGTGCTCAGGTCTTTTGGGGGGGGGGGGGTATTTGGGGGGGGGGGGTATTTGGGGGGGGTATTTGTGGTCCTCACCCCCCCACCCCCCCCAGAACGGCTCCGCCCGTCGGGCAGCGGCCGCCCAGCCCGGGAGGAAGCGGAAATCCACGTGTTTGGGAACGGATGAGGGGGGAAGGGGGGGGGGGATGGGGGGGGGGGATGGGGGGGGGGGATGGGGATGGATGGGGGTGGGGATGGGGGCGGGGATGGATGGGGGTGGGGATGGATGGGGATGGACATGGATGGAGATGGATGGGGGTGGACATGGACATGGATGGGGATGGACATTGACATGGAGGGACATGGATGGGGATGGGCATGGATGGGGAATGGACACAGATGGACATGGATGGACATTGACATGGATGGGGATGGACATGGATGGGGATGGATGGGGGTGGGGAGGGACATGGACATGGATGGGGATGGGGATGGACATGGATGGGGATGGACATTGACATGGAGGAACATGGATGGGGAATGGACACAGATGGACATGAATGGACATTGACATGGATGGGGATGGACACGGATGGGGATGGACATGGATGGGGATGGACATGGATGGGGATTGGACATGGATGGACATGGACACGGATGGGGATGGACATTGACATGGATGGAAATGGACATTGACATGGATGGACATGGATGGGGAATGGACACGGATGGACATGGACACGGATGGGGATGGACATGGATGGGGAATGGACACGAATGGACATGGATGGACATGGACATGGATGGGGATGGACACAGATGGGGATGGGGATGGATGGGGATGGGGATGGACATGGATGCAGAATGGACGCATATGGGGATGGATGGGGATGGACATTGACATGGATGGACATGGACATGGACGTGGATGGACACGGATGGACACGGACATGGATGGACACGGATGGACACGGACATGGATGGACACGGATGGGGACGGGGATGGACACGGATGGACACGGATGGTCATCACCCGGTGCAGGACTCCCAGGACTCGTCGGACGGGGCCCCGCAGGCGCCGCGCATGACCGGGAGCCTGGTGTCGGACCGGAGCCACGACGACATCGTCACGCGCATGAAGAACATCGAGTGCATCGAGCTGGGCCGCCACCGCCTCAAGCCCTGGTACTTCTCGCCCTACCCGCAGGAGCTGACGGCGCTGCCCGTGCTCTACCTCTGCGAGTTCTGCCTCAAGTACGGGCACAGCCTGCGCTGCCTCCAGAGGCACCTGGTACGGACGTGGGGGACCCCCCCATTGAGACCATTGGAGATCCCCCCATTGACACCATTGAGTATCCCCATTGAGACCATTGGAGATCCCCCACTGACACCACTGAGTACCCCCATTGAGGCCATTGGGGAGCCCCCCATTGAGACCATTGGAGATCCCCCCATTGAGACCATTGGGGACTCCCATTGACACCACTGGGGACCCCCATTGAGGTCATTGGGGACCCCCCCCATTGACACCATTGAGTACCCCCATTGAGACCACTGGAGATCCCCCATTGACACCATTGGGGACCCCCATTGAGGCCACTGGGGACGCCCCCATTGAGACCATTGGAGATCCCCCCATTGACACCATTGAGTACCCCCATTGAGACCATTGGAGATCCCCCCATTGACACCATTGAGTACCCCCATTGAGACCACTGGAGATCCCCCATTGACACCATTGGGGACCCCCATTGAGGCCACTGGGGACCCCCCCATTGAGACCATAGGGGACCCCCCCCATTGAGACCATTGGAGATCCCCCCATTGACACCATTGAGTACCCCCATTGAGACCACTGGAGATCCCCCCATTGACACCATTGAATACCCCCATTGAGACCATTGGGGACCCCCCCCATTGATACCATTGAGTACCCCCATTGAGACCACTGGAGATCCCCCCATTGACACCATTGAATACCCCCATTGAGACCATTGGGGACCCCCCCCATTGATACCATTGAGTACCCCCATTGAGACCACTGGAGATCCCGCCATTGACACCATTGGGGACCCCCATTGAGACCATTGGAGATCCCCCATTGACACCATTGGGGACCCCCACTGAGGCCACTGGGGACGCCCCATTGACGCCATTGGGGACCTCCCCATTGAGACCATTGGAGATCCCCCATTGACACCATTGGGGAGCCCCCATTGACGCCATTGGGGACCCCCCCATTGAGACCATTGGAGATCCCCCCATTGACACCATTGGGGACTCCCATTGAGGCCCATTGGGGAACCTCCATTGACACCATTGGGGACCCCCTACTGACCATTGAGTACCCCCCTATAGCTTCAAGTACGGGCACAGCCTGCGCTGCCTCCAGAGGCACCTGGTATGGATGTGGGGGACCCCCCCCATTGAGACCATTGGGGATCCCCCCCCCCCATTGAGGCCACTGGGGACACCCCCCTCCCCCATTGACCATCAGGGACCCCTCATAACCATTGGGGACCCCCCCCATCAACCATCAGGGACCCCCATAACCATTGGGGACCACGCCATCAACCATCAGGGACCCCTCATAACCATCAGGGACCCCTCATAACCATCGGGACCCCCCCCCATCAACCATCAGGGACCCCTCATAACCATTGGGGACCCTCCCATCAACCATCAGGGACCCCCATAAACATTGGGGACCCCCCCATCAACCATCAGGGACCCCCCCTATCAACCATCAGGGACCCCTCATAACCATCAGGGACCCCCCCATCACCATTGGGGACCCCCTTGAGCACCCTCAGGGTACCACTGGGCACATCCAACCCCCCCCCCCACCAATGCATGGCGACCCAAGTGCCCCCCCCCCGTTATGTCTATACCCCCATAGCACCACATCACCCCATCACCCCTTTCCCCCCCCTATTTCCCCTTCCCAACGCATCCCCCTCACCTTTAACCCCTAGAACCCCCCCTTAGGGTCCTCATCCCCCCCCATGACACCCCCTTTTTCTTACCCCCCCCCCCAAAGACCAAATGTGACCTGAGGCACCCCCCGGGCAATGAGATCTACCGCAAAGGCACCATCTCCTTCTTCGAGATCGATGGGCGCAAGAACAAGGTAAAACACGAGAAAGGGGGGGGACAAACGGGGGTCCCCTATTTTAGGGGACCCCCCCCTCACTTTATGCACACACCCCCCCCCCCAAGAGCTATTCCCAGAACCTGTGCCTCTTGGCCAAGTGCTTTCTGGACCACAAGACGCTCTATTACGACACCGACCCCTTCCTCTTCTATGTCATGACCGAGTACGACTGCAAAGGCTTCCACATCGTTGGCTACTTCTCCAAGGTTTGGGGGGGGTCCTGGGGGGGGGTTGAGGGGGGGTTTGGGGGTCCTGGGGGGGGTTGAGGGGGGTTTGGGGGGTCGGGGGGGGGGTTTGAGGGGCTTTGGGGGGGGTTTGGGGGGGTTAAGGGGGTTTGGGGGGGGGGTTGAGGGGGTTTGCGGGAGGTTGAGGGAGGTTTGGGGGGGTCCTGGGGGGGGTTGAGAGGGTTTAGGGGGGGTTTGGGGGGGGGTGAGGGGGTTTAGAGGGGGTTTGGGGGGGGTTGGAGGGTCCTGGGGGGGGTTGAGGGAGTTTAGGGGGGGGTTGGGGGGGGTTGGAGGGTCCTGGGGGGGGTTGAGGGGGTTTAGGGGGGGTTTGGGGGAGGTTGAGGGGGGTTTGGGGGGTCAGGGGGGGGGATTGAGGGGCTTTGGGGGGGGAGTTTGGGGGGGGTTGGGGGGGTCTGGGGGGGGTTTAGAGGGGGTTTGGGGGGGTCGTGGGGGGGGGTTGAGGGGTCCTGGGGGGTTTGGGGGAGTCCTGGGGGGGGTTGAGGGGAGTTTGGGGGGGTCCTGTGGGGGGTTGAGGGGGGTTTGGGGGGTCGGGGGGGGGGTTGAGGGGGAGGTTGGGGGGGGGGGTTGGGGTGGTCCTGGGGGGGGTTTGAGGGGGTTTAGAGGAGGTTTAGGGGGCGGTTGGGGGGGGGGCGTTGAGGGGGTTTAGGGGGGGGTTTGGGGGGTTTGGGGGGGTTGAGGGGTCCTGGGGGGGGTTGAGGGGAGTTTGGGGGTCCTGGGGGGGGTTGAGGGGGGTTTGGGGGGTCCTGGGGGGGGGGGGTTGAGGGGGTTTAGGGGGTTTGGGGGGGGGGGTTGAGGGGGAGGTTTGGGGGGGGTTGGGGTGGTCCTGGGGGTGGTTTGAGGGGGTTTGGGGGGGGTTGGGGGGGGGACGGTGAGGGGGTTTGGGGGGGGGGTGAGGGGTCCTGGGGGGGGTTTTAGGGGGTTTGGAGGGGGGGGGGTTGAGGGAGATTGGGGGTTTGGGGGGGGGGATGAGAGGGTTTGGGGGGCTTAGGGGGGGTTTGGGGGGTCCTGAGGGGGTTTGGGGGGGGTTGAGAGGGTTTGGTGGGGGGGAATTTGAGGGGGGGTTGGGGGTCCTGGGGGGGGGGGGGGGGTGAGGGGGGTTTTGAGTGGGTTTTGGGGTGTCCCCCCCGCAGGAGAAGGAGTCCACAGAGGACTACAACGTGGCCTGCATCCTCACGCTGCCCCCTTACCAGCGCCGGGGCTATGGGAAGCTGCTCATTGAGTTCAGTGAGTGCCCCCCCAAACCCCCCCTGTACCCCAAAACCCCCCAGACCCATGGGAGACCCCAAACCCCTTGGAAGGGGGGGGGGGAAAGAACCCCTAAAATCCCTTAGGGGAACCCCAAAACCCCCTTGGAGCATCCCTTTTGGCTCCTGCCCCCTATTCAATCCACCCAGGGGGGTATCGGGGGACCCCCCCCCACCATTGGGGTCTTTTGGGGTGTCCCCCCCATATTTTGCCCCCCCCCATTGCAGGTTATGAGCTCTCCAAGGTGGAGGGGAAAACGGGGACCCCCGAGAAGCCGCTCTCGGATTTGGGGCTCCTCTCGTACCGCAGTTACTGGTCCCAAACCATCCTGGAGATCCTTATGGGGCTGAAGGCAGAGGGGGGCGAGCGGCCCCAGATCACCATCAAGTGAGGCCACGCCCCCTTCCCCCCCGAGGCCACGCCCCCTCTTTCCCTTTAGGCTCCGCCCCCCCTCCGTTTAGCTCCACCCCCATTCATTATCATGTATCTCCCCCCGCCATCATTGGATCCCAGCTCTATAGGGAACAGCCTCCTCTTCCTGACCACGCCCCTTTCGTAGGCTCCGCCCCCATTCGTTATCCACCCCCCCGTCATTGGATCCCTGCTCTATAGGGAAAAGCTTCCTCTTCCTGACCACGCCCCCTTTCCGATAAGCTCCGCCCCCATTCGTTATCATCCCCCGCGTCATTGGATCCCAGCTCTATAGGGAACAGCCTCCTCTTCCTGACCACGCCCCTTTCCTAGGCTCCGCCCCCTTTCATTATCATTCCCCATGTCATTGGATCCCTGCTCTATAGGGAACAGCCTCCTCTTCCTGACCACGCCCCTTTCCTAGGCTCCGCCCCCATTAGTTATCCACCACCACGTCATTGGATCCCAGCTCTATAGGGAACAGCCTCCTCTTCCTGACCACGCCCCTTTCGTAGGCTCCGCCCCCTTTCATTATCATCCCCCGTGTCATTGGATCCCAGCTCTATAGGAAACAGGCTCTTCTTCCTGACCACGCCCCTTTCGTAGGCCCCGCCCCCCTTCCGATAAGCTCCGCCCCCATTCGTTATCATCCCCTGCGTCATTGGATCCCAGCTCTATAGGAAACAGGCTCCTCCCCCCCCGGCCACGCCCCTTTCCATTTAAGCTCCACCCCCACTCATTATCCACCCCCGCATCATTGGATCCCAGCTCTATAGGGAACAGGCTCCTCCTCCTGACCACGCCCCTTTTGTAGACCACGCCCTCCATCCCAACCATGGGAAACTGACTCCTCCCCCCCCGGCCACGCCCCCTTGCCCTTTAGGCTCCACCCCCTTTCATTATCCCCCATCCCTGCCATTGTAGATCTGGCTCCTCCTCCTCCTCCTCCTGACCACGCCCATTTCCATAGACCCCACCCCCACCTTCCTTTAGCTCCACCCTCACCTCGAGGCCACACCCCTTCCATAGGCTCCACCCCCTTCCCCCAAGCCCACACCCCCATCCCTATCCCTTTGATGGCAAAAGGAGTGGGGGGGGAGGGACTTAAAGGGGAGTGGGGGGGACATTGGGGTCCTGGGGGGGGGAGGGGGGGTTGGGGGGGGTCAAGGATCATTTTGGGGGTGTCCCCCCCCCCCCCCATGGTGCCCCTCCCCCACAGTGAGATCAGTGAGATCACCAGCATCAAGAAGGAGGACGTCATCTCCACGCTGCAGTACCTCAACCTCATCAACTACTACAAGGTGATGGGGTGGGGGGGGTCCTGCCCCACATCTGCCCCCCACTCTGCACCCCAAAGGTTGGGGAGTGGGGGTCAGCCCCACAAAGAACCCCCTCTAAAGGACCATGGGGGTGGGGGGCACTGAATGAACCTATAGGGAATCCCAAATCAGCGCCTATAGAGGAGGCAGGGGGTTGGGGGAGACCCCAAATCACCCTATAGGGAATCCCAAATCAGCGCCCTATAGAGGACCCCAAATCACCCCCTATAGGGGACCAAGGGGTTGAGGGGCCTCAAATCACCCTATAGGGAATCCCAAATCAGCGCCTATAGAGGAGGCAGGGGTTGGGGGGACCCCAAATCACCCCCTATAGAGGACAACCAAATCACCCCCTATAATGGAGCAAGGGGTTGAAGGGCCCCAAATCACCCCCTAGAGAGCACCCCAAAGGTTGGGGGGACCCCAAATCACCCCATAGGCAACCCCAAATCCACCCCTAGAGAGTACCAAAGGGCTTCAGGAGCCCCAAATCACCCCATAGAGGACCCCAAATCACCCCCTAGAGAGGACTGAGAAGTTGTGTAACCCCAAATCACCCCCTACAGAGCACCCAGAGGTTGAGGGGACCCCAAATCATCCCATAGAGGACCCCAAATCACCCTATAGGCAACCCCAAATCCCCCCTAGAGAGGGCCAAAGGGCTTCAGGAGCCCCAAATCATCCCATAGAGGACCCCAAATCACCCTATAGGCAACCCCAGATCCGCCCCTAGAGAGCACCAAAGGGCTTGAGGAGCCCCAAATCACCCCATGGAGGACCCCAAATCACCCAATAGGCAACCCCAAATCCCCCCCTAGAGAGCACCCAGGGGTTGGGAGGACCCCAAATCACCCCATAGAGGACCCCAAATCCCCCCCTAGAGAGGACCAAAGGGCTTCAGGAGCCCCAAATCACCCCCTATAGGGGACCAAGGAGTTGAGGGCCTCCAAATCACCCTATAGGGAACCCCAAGTCACCCCCTATAGAGGACCCAGAGGTTGGGGGGACCCCAAATCACCCCATAGAGAGCACCCAGAGGTTGAGGGGACCCCAAATCACCCCATAGGCAACCCCAAATCCCCCCCCTAGAGAGCACCAAAGGCGTTCAGGAGCCCCAAATCACCCCATGGAGGACCCCAAATCACCCACTATAGAGCACCCAGAGGTTGGGGGGACCCCAAATGACCCCCTAGAGAGGACTGAGGAGTTGTGTGACCCCAAATCACCCCATAGGCAACCCCAAATCCCCCCCTAGAGAGCACCAAAGGCATTCAGGAGCCCCAAATCACCACATAGAGGACCCCAAATCACCCCATAGAGGACCCCAAATCACCTCATAGGCAACCCCAAATCCCCCCCTAGAGAGCACCAAAGGCGTTCAGGAGCCCCAAATCACCCCCTGGAGGAACCCAAATCACCCCCTATAGAGCACCCATGGGTTCGGGGGACCCCATATCACGCCCTATAGAGCACCCAGAGGTTGAGGGGACCCCAAATCCCCCCCTAGAGAGGACCAAAGGGCTTCAGGAGCCCCAAATCACCCCATAGAGGACCCCATTTCACCCCCTATAAATCACCCAGGGGGTTAAGGGGGGGGCCGGACAGCCATGGGTCGCGCCCTATAGGCCGCGTCCCTGCCCCATAGGGTCAGTACATCCTGACGCTGTCCGAGGACATCGTGGAGGGCCACGAGCGGGCGATGCTCAAGCGGGTGCTGCGCATCGACGCCAAGTGCCTGCACTTCACCCCCAAGGACTGGAGCAAGAGGGGCAAGTGGTGAGGCCACGCCCCCTTCCGTGGCCACGCCCACACACGGACCACGCCCTCTTTAACCACGCCCCATCAGTTTTTAAACCACGCCCCATTGTCCCTTTAGGCCACGCCTTCCTTTGTTATTAAACACCCAGCACTTGGCGCCTTTGGTTGCATTGGGGTGGGCGGGGCTTTGAGCAGGCTCCGCCCATAACAAAAAGGGGGTGGGGTTTTGTTAGGGCTCCTCCTCCTCGTCACTGTCAATGACCGGAGCGTGGATCTATGGGGAGAAAGAAAGGGGGGGGGGGGGGTGAGGGGGTCCAGTTCTGCCCCCCAAGGGGGGGGGCTGGGATTAGGGACCCCCAAGTGTGAGGGTGCCCCACAGTATGGGTTGTTGGACCTCCCATCCTGACCCCTAAGTGTGGGGTCTGGGATTAGGGACCCCCAAGTGTGAGGGATGCCCCAAAGTATGGGTACTTGGACCTCCCATCCTGCCCCCCAAGTGTGGGGTCTGGGATTAGGGACCCCCAAGTGTGAGGGACACCCCAAAGTATGGGTTCTTGGACCTCCCATCCTGCCCCCCAAGTGTGGGGCCTGGAATTGGAGACCCCCAAGTGTGGCCCCAAGAGTGGCGCTGAGGGGTTCCCATCCTGCCCCCCAAGTGTGGGGTCTGGGATTGAGGACCCCCAAGCGTTAGGGACAACCCCAAGTGTGGGTCCTAGGACCTCCCATCCTGCCCCCCAAGTGTGGGGCCTGGGATTGAGGACCCCCAAGTGTGAGGGACACCCCAAAGTATGGGTTCTTGGACCTCCCATCCTGCCCCCCAAGTGTGGGGCCTGGAATTGGAGACCCCCAAGTGTGGCCCCAAGAGTGGCGCTGAGGGGTTCCCATCCTGCCCCCCAAGTGTGGGGTCTGGGACTGAAGACCTGAAGTGTCAGGGACACCCCCCCCCAAATATGGGGCTGAAGGGCTCCCATCCTGCCCCCCAAGTGTGGGTCCTGGGACCCCACCATCCCGCCCCCCAAGTGTGGGGCTGAAGGGTTCACATCCTGCCCCCCCAAGTGTGCAGCCCAGCACTGGGAACCAACAATGGCATCTGGGCCCCCCACATGTGGGTCCCTCTCCCCTGCCCCCTAAGTGTGGGTCCCGGCCCAGCCTCACCGCCTGAGCGATGTCCCCCCATTGCAGCGTCAGGGCCAGACCCCCGGGGGGGGGGACTCCATCGGCCCCCCAGTCCCTGATGGCATCGAACGTCCCTATCACCGTCACACACCGGCCCTATGGGGGGCAGAGTCAGTGTGGGGCAGCCCCACAGCTCACCCCATAGAATGGGGTTGGGGGTGTCAGCTGTTCCCCAAGTGTGGGGCAGCCCCACAGCTCGCCCCATAGAACAGGGTTAGGGGTGTCAGCTGCCCCCCCAAGTGTGGGGCAGCCCCACAGCTCGCCCCATAGAACGGGGCTGGGGGTGTCACCTGCCCCCCAAGTGTGGGGCAGCCTCACCTCATCGCCGTGGGGCGGGTCCTCCTCCTGCAGCACCATCCCGCGGTAGCCGTGGGGCACAGGCAGGTCCCGGCCCCCCATGCGCCGGCCCCGGAACGAAGCCCACAGCTCTATGGGGCAGGGAAGGGGGGGAAACGTGGGGCAGGGTGTGAGCAGCCCCACACTTCACCCCATAGCGCTGCTGGGCCCCACAGCACAGAACCAACAGCACCTGAAGAGGCTCCCCCCCACTCTGCCCCACACAAGAAGTCCCCCCCCCCGCTCCGCCCCACAGAAGAGGCTCTGCCCCACACAAGAGCCCCCCCACCCCCGCTCTGCCCCACACCAGAAGCTCACCCCCCCACTCTGCCCCACACAACAGGCTCTGCCCCACACAAGAAGCTCCCCCCCCGGCTCCGCCCCACACAAGAGGCTCTGCCCCACACAGGAGACCCCCCCCAACTCTGCCCCACACAAGAAGCTCCCCCCCCCACACGAGCCCCCCCCCCCCGCCCCCCACAAGCGCCACCCCCCCCCGCTCTGCCCCACACAAGAAGCTCCCCCCCCCGCCCCACACAAGAGGCTCTGCCCCACACAAGAAGCTCCCCCCGCTCTGCCCCACACAAGAGCCCCCCGACCCCTGCTCTGCCCCACACCGGAAGCTCACCCCCCCACTCTGCCCCACACAAGAGGCTCTGCCCCACACAAGAGACCCCCCCCAACTCTGCCCCACACAAGAAACTCCCCCCCCAACAAGAGCCCCCCCCCCGGCCCCACACAAGAGCCACCCCCCCCCGGCTCTGCCCCACACAAGAAGCTCCCCCCCCAACAAGAGCCACCCCCCCCCCCGCTCTGCCCCACACCAGAAGCTCACCTCCCCACACTGCCCCACACAAGAAGCTCCCCCCGCTCTGCCCCACACAAGAGCCCCCCGACCCCCGCTCTGCCCCACACCGGAAGCTCACCCCCCCACTCTGCCCCACACAAGAGGCTCTGCCCCACACAAGAGACCCCCCCCAACTCTGCCCCACACAAGAAGCTCCCCCCCCAACAAGAGCCCCCCCCCCGGCCCCACACAAGAGCCACCCCCCCCCCGGCTCTGCCCCACACAAGAAGCTCCCTCCCACAAGAGCCACCCCCCCCCGCTCTGCCCCACACCAGAAGCTCACCCCCCCACACTGCCCCACACAAGAAGCTCCCCCCCGCTCTGCCCCACACAAGAGCCACCCCCCCCCCACTCTGCCCCACACAAGAAGCTCCCCCCCCCCGCCCCACCCAAGAGGCTCTGCCCCACACCCCCGCTCCGCCCCCCCCGGCTCTCGCTCACCGCCTCCATCCCCGCTCCGCACCCTCAGGAACGCGGCCACGGGCGCGGGGCCCCGGTACCGGAGCTCGCAGGGCAGGAGCTGGGCCTGCAGCGGGGCCGCCGCGCCGGAGCTAGGCCGCAGCCGCACGGCCGTCGCCATGGCAACACCGCCGGTGGCGGAAGTGACGCGTGACGACGCCTGCGGAGCGACGCAGCGCAACGTGGGCGCGGGGCATGATGGGAGTTGTAGTTTAGGAGCGCGGGGGGGGATTTATGGTGCCTTGGGAGTGGGGCCGGGAATGGGCACAGAGGGTGGGGGGGGGATCCAGGGAGGGGGGGGGGATCGGGCCTTGGGGGGGGGGTAAGGGGGATCTGGAGGGGGATCCAGAGGGATCGGGCCCCATGGCACAGAGGGTGTGGGGGGGGGGGGATGCAGGGGATCTGGTGGGAGGATCCAGAGGGATCTGGGGGGGGGATCCAGAGGGATTGGGGGGGGGATCCAGGGGGATCTGGAGGGGATCCAGAGGGATCTGGAGGGGGGATCCAGAGGGATCTGGGGGGGGGATCCAGAGGGATTGGGGGGGGGGATCCAGGGGGATCGGGGGGGGGGGATCTGGGGTGGATCCAGAGGGATCTGAGGGGAGATCCAGAGGGATCGGGCGGGGGGGATCCAGGGGGATCGGGGGGGGGGGGGGATCCAGAGGGATCGGGGGGGATCCAGAGGGATTGGGGGATCGGGGGGGGGATCCCAGAGGGACTGGGGGGGGGGATCAGGGGGTCTCGGGGCTATAGAGGGATGGGGGGATCCAGAGGGACCAGGGGGTCTGGGGCTATAGGGATGGGGGGGACTGTTCATTGGGGTCTGGGGCTATAGGGATGAGCTCCCCATCGGGACCTCCCCTGTGACGTCATAACCTCACATGGGTCCCCAGTGGCGTCACAGGCCCGGTGGGGAACCCTCTATGACGTCACGACTCTTGTTGGAATTCCCACCCCCCCACCCCCCCCCCACAAGGGGCTGTGACGTCACGACGGCAGCAGTGTGACGTCACAAGGCCACAAGGAGGAGTCCCTGTGACGTCACTTCCGCGCTCGGGGGCCCCGTGACATTACAGCGGGCAGTGACGTCATAACGCCACTGGGAAACCCCCACCCTCCACCCCACGTGGGTCCTGTCTGACGTCACAACCGCGAGACAGGGATTGCCCCGTGCCAGCGTGTGTCCCCTTCGTGACGTCACAACCACTGAGGGGGTTTCCCCCAGTGACGTCACTGAAAGTCACCCACCCACCCCTCCCCCCCCGCGCTGTCGCGACAGGGTCCTGGGGGGGGGGGGTGGGCTCCGCCACGATAGGGAACCAATGGCTGAGCCTGAAACCCCGCCCACGTCACCACCGCCCTGCAACGCCATTGGCCGAGCCTGCGGGACCCTCCCCCCTGCGCGCGGACGAAACCATTGCGGGGGGGGGGGGGGGGGGGCGGGGACGCGGGGTCACACAGGGGTCACGGGCGTGTCCCAGGGAGGCTTTAATGGTCGGTACCGTACAGCCGAGGCGCCAAGCCCCGCCCACCGCGTGACGTCACCCCGCCCGCTACGTGACGTCACTTTCCCGGTTGGGGGGGGGGGGGTGAAGAGCCTATAGGATCCATACGATCCCACCCCATCACCACCACCCCACCCCCCCCCCAAGCGACCCCTATATCCCCATATGGGGGGGGGGGGCACCGAGGCTCTGCCCCACACCACCCCCCCCCCATGGGCGCTATAGGGGCTCATGCTGCATGTAAAAAACCCCACTCCCTTATGTACATATTTACACACAGGTTACATACAGGGACCCATAGGGATGGGGGGGGGGATAGGGGCAATCCTGAGCGGTGCTGGATGTGCTGGGAGGAGCGAGGTGTGAGTAACCTCGGAGTAAAGGGGGAGTAAAGCCAGAGTAACCCCATGCTTAAGGCTGGAAGGGGGCCCTGGGGTGTCGCTAAGCTCCAGGGGTGTCAGCCCTGCATGGAATGGGGGTAACCCTGGAGTAACCGCCTGTGAGTAACCCTGGAGTAACCACCTGTGAGTAACTCTGGAGTAACAACCCTCCAATGACCTGTGAGTAACCGTGAAGGGTGCCATTGGCACCCATTGTAACCCCAAAGTAGAGCCTTGCATTGGGGTGATGGGTGAGTAAACCCAGAGTAACAAGGTTCCAATAACCTGTGAGTAACTCTGGAGTAACAACTCTAACAACCTGTGAGTAACCGTGAAGGGTGCCATTGGCACCCATTGTAACCCCAAAGTAGAGCCTTGCATTGGGGTGATGGGTGAGTAAACCCAGAGTAACAAGCCTCCAATAACCTATGAGTAACCCTGGAGTAACCACCTGTGAGTAACTCTGGAGTAACAACCCTCCAACAACCTGTAACTGTGAAGGGTGCCATTGGCACCCATTGTAACCCCAGAGTAGCGCCCTGCATTGGGGTGACGGGTGAGTAAACCTGTAGTTAACAACCCTCCAACAACCTATGAGTAACCCTGGAGTAACAACCCTCCAACAACCTATGAGTAACCCTGAAGGGTGCCATTGGCACCCACTGCAACCCCAGAGCAGCGCCCTGCATTGGGGTGACGGGTGAGTAAACCCGGAGTAACACAATAGTAACCCTAGCTTGGAGGAACGCTTGTGTGGCCATAGAGTACGTAGTAACCTGGGAGTAAGGAGTATTCCACCCATCATCAGTGTATTGGATAACCCCAGTGGGAGCTGTGACCTGGAGTAGTGGCTGAGTAACTTCAGCATCAAGCACATGGACTAACTCCAAGGGACCAACCTAAGGGCTGAGTAACCCTGGAGTAACCACTGTGAACCCCAAATGGGCTTGAATACACCCTGGGGGGACAGGGGGGGGGACGGGGGGAAGAGTACCTTGCTCAGAGTAAAGAAGCAAAGCAAAGTGCGTGTATCCATGGAGTATCCTTGGAGAAAGGGCTTGGACAAAGACCTGGCACAAGGCAATGGTGTAAAGTCTGAGTAAGTCGTGCACGGGGAGCAAAGGAAGGGGCTGAGTAAGCGGGGGGGGGGGGGCTTTGTACCACTGCGTAGTAGCAAAGACGGTGCCATTGTGTGACCCTAAAAGCCCTCTGGGGCTGGCCCCCTAAGGCCTTAGTAACCTCTGAGTAAGGCCTGAGACCCTCGTGAGTCCCACCTATGAGTATGGAGCACGTCAGTGTCGAGAGGACCTCCTCACTGGGTTAAGATGGGGTTTGTGTAACGCTGGAGTAGGGCTGTGAGGATGAAACAACCTGGGATTAAAGCCATAAGTAGGGGACAACCGAGCAGGAGAAGGCCGAGGAAGCTCTGAGTAAAGGCTGAGTAAAGGCTGTGCCGAGGAGCTGGACAAGGGATGGGAGAAGCAAGGCTGAGTAAAAGCAGAGTAAAGGCCAAGGAAACGGGGGGGGGGGGGCACAGAAGGGAAAGGGGGCATCAATAAAGCACCAAATCACCCCAAAGGCAGAGCTGAGTAAACCCAGAGTAAGGCCTCCCCCCCCCCAACCCTGACCAGGAGCAAAGAAGCTCAACGTAAGGGCTGAGTAAACATAGAGCAAGCCCCCCCCCCCCCCCAAAAATGGGTAACCCTAGGTTCTGAAGAGCAATACACCACTGCATAACCCTTAAGGTAAGGTGTGAGTAAGCTCTGAGTAAGCCCCCCGAGCACCAAAGGGGAAGGTGCAGCCCCATGCTGAGCAGTGATGGAGTAACCACGGAGTAGAAGCCGACAGCAAGGGAGTAAAGGCTGAGTAAGGCTGGAACAGGGCAGGAGCGGCCCCACAGCTGCCTTGGTGTAAAGGGGGAGTAGGGCCTGAGTAACCCTGTAGTAACATGGGAGTAACCATGGACCAAGCCCCCCCCCCCCGCCCACCCCATAGCGCCAGGGACCTCCCCCAGGAGGTAAAGAGTCCTCCCCCCCCCCCCAAGTAACCCTGGAGTAAAGTGTGAGTAACCTCAGAGGAAGCTCAGAAGGGGACACCCCCCCCCCCCAAAACTGCCCCCATTGCAGCCCCCCCCCCCAATATAGACTCTTCTTTATAATATTGCCTTGAAAAAATAAAACTCGAAGGAAATCGGGGGAGGGGGGGCCAAAATCGAGGGACCCCCCCCCAAAAAATAGGGGGGGTGCTCCCCATAACAAGGGGGCCCATGGGATCGCCCCCAAATCCAGCAGCAGCTCTTCGGGGGGGGGAGGGTGTAGTAACACTTTGGGGGGATCCCCCTTTAGTTCTAGGGTGCCCCCCCCAAAATCCATTTTGGGGGTGCCCCCCCCCCCAGTTTCGAGCAGATGGGCCCCAGTTTTGGGGGTCAAACCCCCCCTGCCCCCCAACCAGTGTTGGGGGGGGTTCCCAGGGCGTTGCAGCAGCGATCCGAGGGCTGTGGGGAGAGGAAAAGGTTAAGGGGGGGGACCCCTAAAACCTAATTCCACCCCCCCCATCAGAGAGGCCCCCCTATTTTTGGGCTCCCCACACTTTGGGGGGGGGGCTCATTTTTGGGGCTGTTTCCCCATCTTTTGGGGAATCTTCTTCCTTTTTGGGGGGGTTGCGCCCCAGTTTCGATGGGGATCTATTGGGGGGGGGCCCATGGAGAAGTTGGGGGGGGTCATCCTAATATTGGGGGTCCCTTACCTGCTCAGTGTCAGAACTCCGTGTCGAGCACCCGAAAGGCTGAGGAACCTGGGGGGGGGGGGCGATAAAAAGGGGGGGCTCAGGGGGGGAAACCCCCAAAATAGGGAGAATCCTAAAGGACCCCCCCAAAAATTGGGGGGAGGGGAAGTTGGGGGGGGGCCTTAAAGTTTGGGGGGCAGGGACCCACTTTTGGAAGGGTCCTGGATGTGGGGGGGGGGGGGGGTCTGGGGTTGGGGGGGTCTGGGGTTGGGGGGGGGTTCCCATTTTTGGGGGGCTGACCTGGGGGGGGCAGCGTGGCCGAGCGCAGCCCCGGCTCCTTCTGCAGCTGGATCTCCTTCAGTGCGAAGATGGAGGTGGCTGGGGGGGGGAGATTTGCATAAGGGGCGTGGCCAAAAAACAAGCCACGCCCCCCCCCGCCACCCACACAGGACACGCCCCCACCAAGCCTCGCCCCTCAAGTCCTGCCCCCATAACGGTCTGCTCTTACACCCCTCTAAGCCCCGCCCCTTTTCAGCCCCACCCCTGAAGCCCCGCCCACAACCCCACTTAAACCCCTCCCACTTTAACCCACCGGACACTGCCCAATCAAAACCACGCCCCCTTGAAGCCCCTCCCACAAGCCCCATTGAACCCTTCCCACTCCAAGCCCCGCCTCCTTTAAGCCACGCCCCCTTAACCACCTTAGACCCCGCCCACTTTACCCCACCCGCAAGGTAAACCACTGCCCCTCCCACAACCCCCATTGAACCCTTCCCACTCCAAGCCCCGCCTCCCCTTTAAGACCCGCCCCCTTTGACCACATTGACCCCGCCCCCTTTACCCCACCCCGAAGCCCCGCCCACAACCTAAACCACTGCCTCTCCCACAACTGCCATTGAACCCTTCCCACTCCATGCCCCGCCTCCCCTTTAAGCCCCGCCCCCTTTGACCACATTGACCCCGCCCACTTAACCCCACCCCGAAGCCCCGCCCACAACCTAAACCACTGCCCCTCCCACAACCCCCATTGAACCCTTCCCACTCTAAGCCCCGCCTCCTTTAAATCCCCGCCCCTTTAAACACATTGACCCCGCCCACTTCACCCCCACCCCCCAGCCCCGCCCACAACCCCACTTAAACCACTGCCTTTCCCACTACCCGTCCCACGCCAAGCCCCGCCTCCCCCTCAAGCCCCGCCCCCCCCCAAGCCCCGCCCCCTTTCGGCCCCAACCACTCACTGTCGGGCAGGGTGGTGACGCGGGGCCCCAGGCACGCGAAGAACGGGTGCGCCATGGCCTCAGCCGCCGGCAGCCGCCGCCGCCCCTCGAACTGCCCCGCCCACACCCCATTAGGACACGCCCACCGTGAGGGACACGCCCCCTTGTGTGCCCCGCCCACACCCCATCAAGCTCCGCCCCCTCTTCCCCCCCCCCCCCCAGCCCTGCATGGACCCAGCCATTGGCGGTCCAAGCACCGCCCCCCATGTAGGAGGGGCTTAGGGAAGGGGCGGGGTTTATGGGGAAGGGGCGGGGTTAGGTGTGGCCACGCCCCCCCCCCTCACCTGCAGTAGCTGCCCCAGCAGGTCCGCACCATCCTGGTCCAGCCTGGGGGGGGGAAGAGGAAGTCAGGTACCCCCCAGCTCCTGCTATGGGGCAGAGCCACCATCTATGGGGCACATACACACACCCCAATCCACTCTATGGGGCAGAGCCACCCTCTATGGGGCACCTACACACACCCCAATCCACTCTATGGGGCACATACACACACCCCAATCCACTCTATGGGACAGAGCCACCCTCTATGGGGCACAAACACACACCCCAATCCACTCTATGGGGCAGAGACACCCTCTATGGGGCACATACACACACCCCAATCCACTCTATGGGGCAGAGCCATCCTCTATGGGGCACATACACACACCCCAATCCCCTCTATGGGGCAGAGCCACCCTCCATGGGGCACATACACACACCCCAATCCACTCTATGGGGCACATACACACACCCCAATCCCCTCTATGGGGCAGAGCCACCCTCTATGGGGCACATACACACACCCCAATCCACTCTATGGGGCAGAGCCATCCTCTATGGGGCACATACACACACCCCAATCCACTCTATGGGGCAGAGCCACCCTCTATGGGGCACATACACACACCCCAATCCACTCTGTGGGGCAGAGCCATCCTCTATGGGGCACATACACACACCCCAATCCACTCTATGGGGCAGAGCCACCCACTATGGGGCACATACACACACCCCAATCCACTCTATGGGGCAGAGCCACCCTCTATGGGGCACATACACACACCCCAATCCCCTCTATGGGGCAGCGCCACCCTCTATGGGGCACATACACACACCCCAATCCCCTCTATGGGGCAGAGCCACCCTCTATGGGGCACATACACACACCCCAATGCACTCTATGGGGCAGAGCCACCCTCTATGGGGCACATACACACACCCCAACCCCCTCTATGGGGCAGCGTCACCCTCTATGGGGCACATACACACACCCCAATCCCCTCTATGGGGCAGAGCTACCCTCTATGGGGCACATACACACACCCCAATGCACTCTATGGGGCAGAGCCACCCCCTGTGGCATCGATACCCTCCTCCAATGGGTCAACTTCTTCCCCCTATGGAGCAACGCCCCCTCCCCACTCAAGGACCACCTTCCCCCTTGCTATGGGGCAGCAGCAAGCCCGCCATGGGGCAGACCGTGGGGCGTGGTGCAGCAGCCCCTCGGGGGGGTACGGGGGGTACTTGTGGGCCCGGAACTCGGCGTTGGCCCCGATCCCTGGCCACGTCTCCTCTGTTGGGGTCCCTGTGTGCAAATGGGGGGGGGGGGTAAGGAAGAAGACCCCAAAATCCCCTTTATTCACCCCCAAAACCCCCTTTCATGCCCCCAAAATCCCTCGGAATTCCCCCAAATCTTCTAATTTCTCCCCAAATTCCCCCCCCCAAACCCCTTCCATTCCCCCTTGACCCCCCCAATTTTACCCCAAACCCATCAAATTGCCCCAAACCCCCCATTTACCCCCCTTCCTTTACCCAAAACCCCCTTTTTTCACCCCAAAACCCCTTTGAATTCCCCCAAAATCTTCCAATTTCTCCCCAAATTCCCCCTCCTCCAAACCCCATTTCCCCTCAACCCCCCCCCCAAATTTTACCCCAACTTGCCCCCCCCCCATTTCCCCCCTGCCCCCTTCCTGTACCCAAAACCCCCTTTTTTTTCACCCCAAAAACCCCTTGGATTTCCCCCAAAATCTCAAATTCCCCCCCCAAACCCTTTCCATTTCCCCTCAAAACCCCCCCAATTTTACCCTAAATTTTCCCCCAACTTCCCCCCCCTTCCCCCTTTTTTTCCCAAAACCCCCTTTTTTCACCCCAAAAACCCCTTGGAATCCCCCCCAGAATCTCAAATTCCCCCCCCCAAACCTTTCCATTTCCCCTCAAAACCCCCCAATTTTCCCCCAATTTTCCCCCCAATTTTCCCCCCAATTTCCCCCAATTTTCCCCCCAATTTTCCCCCAATTTTCCCCCCAATTTTCCCCCAATTTCCCCCCCAAATTTCCCCCCCAACTTCCCCCCCCCTTTCCCCCCTTTTTTTCCCAAAACCCCCTTTTTTCACCCCAAAAACCCCTTGGAATTCCCTCCAGAATCTCAAATTCCCCCCCCCAAACCTTTCAATTTCCCCTCAAAACCCCCCCAATTTCCCCCCAAATTTTCCCACAAATTTCCCCCCAACTTCCCCCCCCCTTTCCCCCTTTTTTTCCCAAAACCCCCTTTTTTCACCCGAAAAACCCCTTGGAATCCCCCCCAGAATCTCAAATTCCCCCCCCAAACCTTTCCATTTCCCCTCAAAACCCCCCAATTTCCCCCTGATTTTCCCCCCAATTTTCCCAATTTTACCCCAATTTTACCCCAAATTCCCTCCCCCTTCCCCCGTTTTTTCCCAAAACCCCCTTTTTTCACCCCCAAAACCCCTTGGAATTCCCCCCCAGAATCTCAAATTCCCCCCCCCCAAACCTTTCCATTTCCCCTCAAAACCCCCCAATTTCCCCCCAATTTTCCCCCCAATTTCCCCCCAATTTTCCCAATTTTCCCCCCAATTTTCCCAATTTTCCCAATTTTCACCCCAATTTTCCCCCCAATTTTCCCCCCAATTTTCCCCCAATTTCCCCCCCAAATTTCCCCCCAACTTTCCCCCCCCCTTTCCCCCCTTTTTTTCCCAAAACCCCCTTTTTTCACCCCAAAAACCCCTTGGAATTCCCCCCCAAATCTCTAATTCCCCCCCCCAAACCCCTTCCATTTCCCCTCAAAACACCCCCAATTTCCCCCCCAACTTTCCCCCAATTTTCCCAATTTTCCCCCCAATTTCCCCCCAATTTCCCCCCAATTTCCCCCAATTCTCCCCCAATTCTCCCCCAATTTTCCCCCAATTTCCCCCAATTTTCCAATTTCCCCCAATTTTCCCCCCAATTTCCCAATTTCCCCCCAATTTCCCCCAATTTTCCAATTTTCCCCCATTTTCCCAATTTCCCAATTTTCCCCCAATTTCCCCGTAATTTTCCCCCAATTTTCCCCCATTTTCCCCCAATTTTCCCCAATTTCCCCCCCAATTTTCCCCCAATTTTCCCCCCAATTTCCCCGCAATTTCCCCCCAACTTCCCCCCCCCTTCCCCCCTTTTTTTCCCCAAACCCCCGTTTTTCCCCCCAAACCCCGCACCGAGCAGCCGGAAGATGAAGCGCAGCTGCTCCTCCACGCTGGAGCCGGGGAACAGCGGCCGCCCCGTCACCATCTCCGAGAAGATGCAGCCCACCCCCCTGCAGTGGGGCGCACGGGACCCACATATAGGGGGCACGTGGGGGGATGCCTATAGGGGTCTCATCTAGAGGGCTGGGTCCCGATTGGCAGCCCGGTTCCCAACCCCCGGACCCACATTCCCATCCCTGGACCCCCAACCCAGCCCCACAGATCCGCACTCACACACCCTGGACCCCCAACCCAGCCCCACAGATCCCCAATCCCACACCCCTGGACCCCCAACCAAGCCCCACAGATCCCCACTCCCACCCCCCTGACCCCCAACTCAGCCCCACAGATCCCCACTCCCACCCCCCTGACCCCCAACCCAGCCCCACAGATCCCCACTCCCACACCCCTGGACCCCCAACCCAGCCCCACAGATCCCCACTCCCACCCCCCAGACCCCCATTCCCAACCCCCAGCCCCCCAACCCAGCCCCACAGACTCCCACTCCCACCCCCCAGACCCCCATTCCCAGCCCCGGACCCCCATTCCCACCCCTGGACCCCCAACCCAGCCCCACAGATCCCCACTCCCACCCCTGGACCCCCAACCCAGCCCCACAGATCCCCACTCCCACACCCCTGGACCCCCAACCAAGCCCCACAGATCCCCACTTCCACCCCTGGACCCCCAACCCAGCCCCACAGATCCCCAATCCCACACCCCTGGACCCCCAACCAAGCCCCACAGATCCCCACTCCCACCCCCCTGACCCCCAACTCAGCCCCACAGATCCCCACTCCCACCCCCTGGACCCCCAACCCAGCCCCACAGATCCCCAATCCCACCCCCCTGACCCCCATTCCCAACCCCCAGCCCCCCAACCAAGCCCCACAGATCCCCACTCCCACCCCCAGACCCCCATTCCCAACCCCCAGACCCCCAACCCAGCCCCACAGATCCCCACTCCCACCCCCCAGGCCCCCATTCCCACCCCCTGACCCCCATTCCCCCCCCAGCCTTCCATTCCCACCCCCCAGCCCCCCAACCCAGCCCCACAGACTCCCACTCCCACCCCCCAGCCCCCCATTCCCACCCCAGGACCCCCATTCCCAGCCCCCTAACCCCCATCCCAGCCCCCCAACCCCCCACTCCCACCCCCCATCCCCCCCATCCCATCCCCATCCCACCCCCAGCCCCCCCCATCCCACCCCCAGCCCCCCATTCCCACCCCCCATTCCCACCCCCATTCCCACCCCCCCGAGCCCCCCATTTCCACCCCCCATCCCCCCCATTCCCCCCTCCCCACACCCCCCATCACCCCCATCCCCCAACCCCCCATCCCCCCATCCCCACCCCCCATTCCCACCCCCGAGCCCCCCCATTTCCACCCCCCATCCCCCCCATCCCCCCCCAATTCCACCCCCCATTTCCACCCCCCAGCCCCCCATCCCCACCCCCCATCCCCACCCATCCCACCCCTATTTCCACCCCCCAGCCCCCCATCCCACCCCCATCCCCACCCCCCATTCCCACACCCCAGCCCCCCATCCCCATCCCACCCCCCATCCCCACCCCCCATCCCCCCCCATCCCACCCCCATTCCCACCCCTCATCCCAGCCCCCATCCCCCCATCCCCCCCCATCCCCCCATCCCCCCATCCCACCCCCCATCCCCACCCCCCATTCCCACCCCCCAGACCCCCCATCCCCATCCCCACATCCCCACCCCCATCCCGATCCCCATTTCCCCATCCCACCACTATGGGGACCCCCAGCCCCCCATCCCCACCCCCCATCCCCCCACCCCCCCCCCCATCCCCCCATCCCCCCCCCCCCCCTCACCACATGTCGATCTGGGTGGAATACTCGGTGGAGCCCAGGAGGATGTCGGGGGGGCGGTACCAGAGCGTCACCACCTCGTTGGAGTACGTCTTGGTGGGGATGGACTGAGCCCGCGCCAAGCCTGGGGGGGGATGGGGTCAGGGGGGGGGATGGGGTCACGGGGGGGAAATGGGGTCACAAAGGGGGGAATGGGGTCACGGGGGGGATGGGGGTGGGGGGGAAATGGGGTCACGGGGGGGAATGGGGTCACGGGGGGGGAATAGGGTCACGGGGGGGGATGGGGTCACGGGGGGGAATGGGGTCACGGGGGGGAATGGGGTCACGGGGGGGGAATGGGGTCACGGGGGGGGGAAATGGGGTCACGGGGGGGGGAAATGGGGTCCCAAGGGGGGGGGGAATGGGGTCACGGGGGGGGAATGGGGTCACGGGGGGGAATGGGGTCACGGGGGGGAATGGGGGTGGGGGAAATGGGGTCCCAAGGGGGGGAATGGGGTCACGGGGGGGGAATGGGGTTTGAGGGGGGGAATGGGGTCACGGGGCGGGGGAATGGGGTTGGGGGGGAAATGGGGTCACGGGGGGGGAATGGGGTCCCAAGGGGGGGAATGGGGTCACGGGGGGGATGGGGTCACAAGGGGGGGGGCAATGGGGTCACGGGGGGGGAAATGGGGGTGGGGGGGGATGGGGTCACAGGGGGGGGAATGGGGGTGGGGGGGAAATGGGGTCACGGGGGGGGAATGGGTTGGGGGGGAATGGGGTCACGGGGGGGGGAATGGGGTCACAGGGGGGCAATGGGGTCCCAAGGGGGTCCCGGGGGGGAAATGGGGTTGGGGGGGTAATTGGGGTCCCAAAGGGGTCCTGGGTTGTTATGTGTTGGTTTGGGGCAGTTTTGGGGTGTTTTGGGTTTTTTTTCGGGTGTTTTTGGCTGGTTTTGGGTGTTTTGGCCTGTTTCTGTGTGTTTTGTGCTGTTTTGGGGTGGTTTGGGCTGGTTTGGGTTGTTTTGGGCTGTTTTGAGGGAGTTTTGTGCTGTTTTGGGGTGTTTTGTGCTGTTTTGGGGCAGTTTTGAGTTGTTTTGGTGTGTTTTGGGCTGTTTTGGGGCAGTTTTATGCTGTTTTGGGGCAGTTTTGAGTTGTTTTGGGCTGTTTTGGGCTGTTTTGGGGCAGTTTTGGGCAGTTTTGGGGCATTTTTGTGCTGTTTTGGGGCAGTTTTGCGGTGTTTTGGGGCATTTTTGGGCTGTTTTGGGGCAGTTTTGGGCTGTTTTGGGGCAGTTTTGGGCTGTTGTGGGGTAGTTTTGGGCTGTTTTGGGGCAGTTTTGTGCTGTTTTGGGGCAGTTTTGTGCTGTTTTGGGGCAGTTTTGCGGTGTTTTGGGGCAGTTTTGGGCTGTTTTGGGGCAGTTTTGGGCTGTTTTGGGGCGGTTTTGGGCTGTTTTGGGGCATTTTTGGGCTGTTTTGGATCAGTTTGGGGCTGTTTTGGGGCAGTTTTGGGCTGTTTTGGATCAGTTTGGGGCTGTTTTGGGGCAGTTTTGGGCTGTTTTGGGTCAGTTTTGGGCTGTTTTGGGGCAGTTTTGGGCAGTTTTGGGGCATTTTTGGGCTGTTTTGGGGCAGTTTTGTGCTGTTTTGGGGCAGTTTTGGGCTGTTTTGGGTCAGTTTTGTGCTGTTTTGGGGCAGTTTTGGGGTGTTTTGGGGCAGTTTTGTGCTGTTTTAGGGCAGTTTTGGGTGTTTTGGGGCATTTTTGTGCTGTTTTGGGGCAGTTTTGGGCTGTTTTGGGTCAGTTTTGTGCTGTTTTGGGTCAGTTTTGGGCTGTTTTTTGGGCAGTTTTGGGCTGTTTTGGGTCAGTTTTGGGCTGTTTTTTGGGCAGTTTTGGGCTGTTTTGGGGCAGTTTTGGGCTGGTTTGGGGCAGTTTTGGGCTGTTCTGGGGCAGTTTTGGGCTGCTTTGGATCAGTTTTGGGCTGTTTTGGGGCAGTTTTGGGCTGTTTTGGGTCAGTTTTGGGCTGTTTTGGGGCAGTGTTGGGCTGTTTTGGGGCAGTTTTGGGATGTTTTGGGTCAGTTTTGCGGTGTTTTGGGGCAGTTTTGTGCTGTTTTGGGGCAGTTTTGCGGTGTTTTGGGGCAGTTTTGTGCTGGTTTGGGGCAGTTTTGGGCTGGTTTGGGGCAGTTTTGGGCTGTTCTGGGGCATTTTTGGGCTGCTTTGGATCAGTTTTGGGCTGTTTTGGGGCAGTTTTGGGCTGTTTTGGGGCAGTTTTGTGCTGTTTTGGGTCAGTTTTGGGCTGTTTTGGGGCAGTGTTGGGCTGTTTTGGGGCAGTTTTGGGATGTTTTGGGTCAGTTTTGCAGTGTTTTGGGGCAGTTTTGTGCTGTTTTGGGGCAGTTTTGCGGTGTTTTGGGGCAGTTTTGTGCTGTTTTGGGGCAGTTTTGGGCTGGTTTTGGGCTGTTTTGGGCTGTTTTGGGTCAGTTTTGGGCTGTTTTGGGGCATTTTTGTGCTGTTTTGGGGCAGTTTTGGGCTGTTTTTGTGCTGTTTTGGGTGTTTTGGTGCCCCCCTGACCGAAATCCGCCAGCTTGAGGTCCCCGCGCCGGCTGAGCAGGAGGTTCTGGGGCTTGAGGTCGCGGTGCAGCACCTTGTGCCGGTGGCAGAAGGCCAGGCCCCGCAGGAGCTGGAAGAGGAAGAGCTGCACCCCCCCCCCCCGCACCCCAAAACAACGCCTTACACACCCAGTGCATGCCAGTGCACCCCATTGCATCCCATTGCACCCCATTGTACCCCATTGCATCCCATTGCATCCCACTGCTTCCCATTGCACCCCATTGCATCCCATTGCACCCCATTGCACACCTTTGCATCCCATTGCATCCCATTGCACCCCATTGCACACCAGTGCATCCCATTGTACCCCATTGCATCCCATTGCACCCCATTGCACACCAGTGCATCCCATTGCATCCCATTGCACCCCATTGCATCCCATTGTACCCCATTGCACCCCATTGCATCCCATTGTACCCCATTGCACACCATTGCATCCCATTGCATCCCATTGCACCCCATTGTACCCCATTGCATCCCATTGTACCCCATTGCACACCATTGCATCCCATTGCACCCCACTGTACACCCCATTACACCCCATTGCACCCCATTGCACACCCCATTGCACCCCATTGTACACCCCATTGTACACCCCATTGTACACCCCATTGTACACCCCATTGTACCCCATGCACACTCCATTGCACACCCCATTGCACCCCATTGTAACCCACTACACCCCATTGCACCCCATTGCACACCCCATTGCACACCCCATTGTACACCCCATTGTACACCCCATTGTACCCCATTGCACACCCCATTGCACACCCCACTGCATCCCATTGCACCCCATTGCACACCACTGTACACCCCATTACACCCCATTGCACACCATTGCACACCCCATTGTACCCCATGCACACCCCATTGCACCCCATTGTACCCCACGCACACCCCATTGCACCCCACGCCCACCCCAGACCCCCTTTACCCCCCCTTTGCCCCCCACCTTGACGTTGTGCATGCTGATGACGCTGCCGCAGTCATCCAGGTACTGCTTGAGGTCCCGGTCCTGGGGGGGGGATCAGGATGGGGGACCCCAAAAATGGGGGGGGATCAGGATGGGGGGGACCCCAAAAATGGATCAGGATGGGGCACCCCAAAAATGGGGAGGATCAGGATGGGGGGACCCCAAAAATGGGGGGAGATCAGGATGGGGCACCCCAAAAATGGGGGGGATCAGGATGGGGGGGACCCCAAAAATGGGGAGGATCAGGATGGGGGACCCCAAAAATGGGGGGGATCAGGATGGGGCACCCCAAAAATGGGGGGGGATCAGGATGGGGGGACCCCACAAAAGGGGATGGGGGGGGACACAGAGGGGGGGTGCAGAAGGTGGGGGGGTTGGGGTCCCATGGGGGGGGGTTGGGTGCAGATGGGGTATTTCGGGGTGCAGGAGTTGGGTTTTGGGTGCAAAAGGGTGGTTTTGGGTGCAGAAAGGGGGTTTTGGGTGCAGAAAGGGGGTTTTGGGTGCAGAAAGGGCAGTTCAGGGTGCAGAAGGGGTGGTTTTGGGTGCAGATGTTTGGTTTTGGGTGCAGAAAGGGGGGTTTTGGGTGCAGAAGGGGTGGTTTTGGGTGCAGAAGGGGTGGTTTTGGGTGCAGAAAGGGGGTTTTGGGTGCAGAAGGGGGGTTTTGGGTGCAGAAGGTTGGTTTTTGGGTGCAGAAAGGGGGGTTTTGGTTGCAGAAGTTTGGGTTTTGGGTGCAGAAAGGGGGGTTTTGGGTGCAGAAGGTTGGGTTTTGGGTGCAGAAGGGCTATTTTTGGGTGCAGAAGTTTGGTTTTTGGGTGCAGAAGTTTGGTTTTCGGGTGCAGAAGGGGTATTTTTGGGTGCAGAAGGGTGGTTTTGGGCGCAGAAAGGGGGTTTTGGGCGCAGAAGGGGTGGGTTTGGGCGCAGAAAGGGTGGGTTTGGGGTCCAGAAAGGGTATTTTTGGGTGCAGAAAGGTGGTTTTGGGCCCAGAAAGGTGGTTTTGGGTGCAGAATGGGTGGGTTTGGGTGCAGAAAGGGGGGTTTTGGGTGCAGAAGGTTGGGTTTTGGGTGCACAAAGGTGGTTTTGGGCACAGAAAGGGCAGTTTTGGGTGCAGAAGGGGTATTTTTGGGCCCAGAAAGGGGGTTTTGGGGCCCCAAAGCGGGGCTTTCAGCTGCTCACCAGGTACTCGAAGACGAGCGTGAGGCACTGGGGCGTGTGGACGATGTCGTGCAGCGTCACCACGTTGGCGTGCTTGAGGTCCCGCAGCAGGGACACTGCGGGGGGGGGGGGGGGGGGGGCACCCATTGACAAGGAGGCCCAGGACACCCCCCCCCCCCCAATGTCCTGGGTGCAGGGGATGGGGGCCAGGATCCCCCCATGTCCTGGGTGCAGGGGGGGGGGCACCCATTGACAAGGAGGTCCAGGACCCCCGCCCCCCCCAATGTCCTGGGTGCAGGGGGACCCCCCCATGTCCTGGGCATGGGGATGGGGGCCAGGACCCCCCCATGTCCTGGGTGCAGGGGATGGGGGCCAGAACCCCCCCATGTCCTGGGTGCAGAGGGACCCCCCCATGTCCTGGTGTGGGGATGGGGCCAGGACCTCCCCATGTCCTGGGTGCAGGGGGACCCCCCCATGTCCTGGGTGCAGGGGATGGGGCCAGGACCCCCCCATGTCCTGGGTGCAGGGGGACCCCCACATGTCCTGGTGTGGGGATGGGGCCAGGACCCCCCCATGTCCTGGGTGCAGGGGATGGGGCCAGGACCCCCCCATGTCCTGGGTGCAGAGGGACCCCCCCCATGTCCTGGTGTGGGGATGGGGCCAGGACCCCCCCATGTCCTGGGTGCAGGGGATGGGGCCAGGACCCCTCCCTGTCCTGGGGATGGGGATAGGGGCCAGGACCCCCCGATGTCCTGGGTGCAGGGGGACCCCCCCATGTCCTGGGTGCAGGGGATGGGGCCAGGACCCCCACATGTCCTGGGTGCAGGGGGACCCCCACATGTCCTGGGTGCAGGGGGACCCCCCCATGTCCCGTGGGGTGTGTGGGGGGGCTCTCACCCTCCCGGATGGCCGTGCAGGGGGCCCCCTCCTCGTGCTCCAGGCGGATCTCCTTCAGCGCCACCAGGTTCTCGGTCAGTTTGCTGCGGCCCTTGTACACCGTGGCGTAGGTGCCCTGGGGATGGGGGGGGTGTTGGGGGGCATGGGGGGGACAAGGGAGATGGGGGGATATGGGGGGGACATTGGGATGGGGGGGCATTGGGGGATATGGGGCATGGGGGGCATTGGGGATATGGGGGGGACATTGGGATGGGGGGGCATTGGGGGATATGGGGGCATGGGGGGGATATGGGGCATGGGGGGCATGAGGGAGATGGGGGGGACATTGGGATGGGGGGGACATTGGGGGATATGGGGGCATGGGGGGGATATGGGGCATGGGGGGGACAAGGGAGATGGGGGGGATATGGGGACATTGGGGATATGGGGGGGACATTGGGATGGGGGGGACATTGGGGGATATGGGGGATGGGGGGAATGTGGGGACAAGGAGGTGACATGGGGGACGTTGGGGACATGGGGACATTGGGGGGCATGGGGGGCCATTAGGGGGCATTGGGGGCCATTGGGGGGCATTGGGGGGGGGTATTGGGAGCCATGGGGGCCATTGGGGCCATTGGGGGCCATTGGGGACCATTGGGGGCCATAGGGCCAAGGGGGATGTGGGGACGCAAGGACCCGGAGCTCCGCTGTGGGGCAGGGTGTGGGGGGGGGGACGGGACCCCCACGGCCACGGTTGGGGGGCAGCAGCGGAGCCCCTGCCCCTCACCTCGCCCAGTTTGTCCAGCTTCACGTAGGTCTCCAGCTTCCCGAAGCCGATCTCCGACTGCGGGGGGAAGCGCAAGTCACTGGGAGCCCCATACTGGGCCATACTGGTTCATACTGGGCCATACTGGGACGTACTGAGCCATACTGGTCTGTACTGGTTCGTACTGGGCCATACTGGGACGTACTGGGCCATACTGGTCTGTACTGGGCCATACTGGTTTGTACTCGGCCATACTGGGACGTACTGGGCCATACTGGTCTGTACTGGGCCATACTGGTTTGTACTGGGCCGTACTGGTTTGTACTGGGCCGTACTGGTCTGTACTGGGCCATACTGGTCTGTACTGGTCTGTACTGGGCCATACTGGTCTGTACTGGACCATACTGGGCTGTACTGGGCCATACTGTGCCGTACTGGTCCATACTGGTTTATACTGGTTCATACTGGGCCATACTGGACCATACTGGTTTATACTGGTCCATACTGGGCCGTACTGGACCATACCGGTTTCTACCGGTCCGTACTGGTCCATACTGAACCATACTGGTTTGTACTGGGCCGTACTGGTCTGTACTGGTTTGTACTGAGCTGTAACGGTTTGTACTGGGCCCTACTGGTTTATACTAGTCCATACCTGTCCATACTGGCTTATACTGGTTTATACTGGTCCATACCAATTTATACTAGTCCATATTGCTCCATAGTGGTTTATACCGGCTTATAATTATACTGGTCCATACCGGTTTATACTGGTCCATACCGGTTTATGCTGGTTTATACTGGTCTATACCGGTTTATACTGGTCCATACCGGTTTATGCTGGTTTATACTGGTCCATACAGGTTTATACTGGTCCATACCGGTTTATGCTGGTTTATACTGGTCTATACCGGTTTACACTGGCTTACACTGGTTTATACTGCTTTATAACGGTTTATACTAATTTACACTGGTTTGTACTGGTTTATAGCGATTTATACCTGTTTATACCGGTTTACACTGGTTTATACTCGTTTATACCCGGATTTATACTGGTTTATACCCTTTTATACCCATTTATACAGGTTTATACCGGTTTATATTGGTTTATATTAGTTTACACTAGTTTATACCAGTTTATACAAGTTTATACTGGTTTATATCGGTTTACACTGGTTTATACCATTTTATTTCGGTTTATACTGGTTTATACAAGTTTATACTGGTTTATATCGGTTTACACTGGTTTACACTGGTTTATACCTGTCTATACCGGTCCATACTGGTCTATACCGATCTATACTGGTTTATAACTGTCTATACCAGTCCATACCGGTCTATACCAATCTATACTGGTCTATACTGATCTATACCGGTCTATACGGCCCATACCGGTCTATACCGATCTATACCAGTCTATACCAATTTATACCGGTCTATACCAGTCCATACTGGTCTATACCAGTCCATACCAGTCTATACTGGTCCATACTGATCTATACCGGTCTATACCAGTCCATACTGGTCCATACTGGTCTATACTGGTCCATACTGGTCTATACTGGTCTATACTGATCTATACCAGTCCATACTGGTCCATACTGGCCCATACTGGTCTATACCGGTTCATACTGGTCTATACTGGTCTATACTGGTCCATACTGGTCCATACTGGTCTATACCGGTCCATACTGATCTATACCAGTCCATACTGGTCCATACTGGTCCATACTGGTTCCCAGCGGGACGCACCAGGGAGACGCGGCGCAGGCGGCGGCTCAGGGGCCCGGGCAGCCCCAGGCCCCCCTCGGGCAGGCGGGGGTCAGCCGGCAGCGACAGGCGCTTGTTGATGTCCTGGGGGGGGGTACAGGACACATCAGGGACCCCCCCAGCACCCCACAACTGGGGAACCCCCTAACCCCACCCCCAGCACCCCCCAACTGGGCACCCCCCCAGACCCCCAACCCCAGCACCCCACAACCGGGGACCCCCCCGAACCCCACCCACAGCACCCCACAACCGGGGACCCCCCTGAACCTCACCCCCACCCCCAGCACCCCACAAACGGGGAACCCCCGAACCCCCACCCCCACCCCCCCAGCACCCCACAACCGGGGAACCCCCAGACCCCCACCCCCCAGCACCCCACAACTGGGGAACCCCGAACCCCTACCCCCATCCCCCAGCACCCCTCAACCGGGGACCCCCCCGAACCCCACCCCCACCCCCCCAGCACCCCACAACCGGGGATGCCCCAGAACCCCATCCCCACCCCCAGCACCCCACAACTGGGCACCCCCAGAACCCCACCCCCAGCACCTGCCAACTGGGCACCCTCCAGACCCCATCCCCCAGCACCCCACAACCGGGGACCCCCCGAACCCCCACCCCCATCCCCCAGCACCTCACTACCGGGGACCCCCCCAAACCCCACCCCGCAGCACCCCACAACTGGGCACCCCCCCAGACCCCCACCCCCCAGCACTCCACAACTGGGGACCCCCCAAACCCCACCCCCACCCCCAGCACCCCACAACCGGGGAACCCCCAGACCCCCACCCCCCCAGCACCCCCCAAACGGGGACCCCCCCCAAACCCCACCCCGTAACCTGGGACACCCCGAACCCCACCCCCACCCCCCAGCACCCCACAACCGGGGACCCCCCAACCCCTGCAAGTCCCCCCAGGGTCACCCCACACCGCACACAGACCCCCCCCCGGAGCCCCCCAAAACACCCCCAAGAGCCTCCAGGACCACTCCAAAACCCCATAGGAGCCCCAAGATGCAACGAGGATCGGGGGACCCGTGCCCCCATGTCCCATATCCATATCCCCATATCCCATATCCCCATGTCCCATATCCCATATCCCCATATCCCATATCCATATCCCCATATCCCATATCCATATCCCCATATCCTATATCCCCTATACCTATCCCCCCCACACCCCCCATACCCCCATACCCCCCATATCCCCTATACCCGCCACACAACCCCACCCCCCCATCCCCCATATCC